ATTTATACCTGAGTGATTGCATTACTTTCAACTCCTGTTTATCGCTACCAACAACCAAAATCTAACTGACAGACATAACATGATGACAATTTCCATTATTATCTTGTGGACTCCCTCTTTTAACTACAATTTGTTGATGTGTTGTGCAATGGCACCTCTCTCTGTAGATTTGCAAGTTAAAAGACTAGTGTTTTCAAACTTCTAGCCAAAAATTTTCACATTTATTGGTCATGTTAAAACAGAAAAGGTAATTATAAAAGTATAGTTCATGTACAGTGTTCAAAGCTGGAAGCACCATTACTATTAGCTGACATTTGCAGTTGCCTGCTGGGTTATCCAGGTTTATCATAAACAAATTCTTGTCTGCTATTAACGACTGATTCCAATCTTTCTGCTGAAGAACAAAAGTAGACAGCATTTTCCATTCTGTGGAAGGCAAATATTTCATTAGTCTCTGAAGTAGTGTGATCTTGCCTGAAGCCTGTTGACTCTAACACATTTTGGCAGCTTTGTGCAAATGATTTGATGACTGAGAACCTCAGATGCTCAAATGCACCCAATTGTAACGTGCAACAAGTCCTAACCTGCCAAATGTTTACTTCAGTGACTCTTAACTCAGTCAATCACCAGCAGGGGTTTTTCCAAAATCAGCATACCAACCAAATGAGATGGCACTCACCATTTGCAGTCTGTTTTCCCGTAAATGTTTTTGGCTTCTGAGAGAATGAAAATTGGAACGTTTAGCCAATGGTAAGAAAATTTCTGCTGTTGTTCTGAACAGAAAAAGAGGACTACCTCTGGAGGTAGGTTACATTTTCCGAAGGAATTTTCCACAAAAATTTCCGTCCTATTTGACTCTCAACTAAAATTTGAAATTGGTTTGCAAAATGGTAAGCACCCTAATTCTCCCCTATAAGCACCCTTGTCTATTCCAAAATTGCCAAGGCTTTGTATTTCTTCCCCTATTAGCTGTAAAAGTTCTATCTTTTCTCTAGGGCAGATTTTTTCTTGCAAGTCTTTATGACCTACTTTAACTCATTACAACTAACACCACAGTATCCAAAGTCAGGCAAGATAACAAACTTACATGTACTTTTGAGGTGAATTAAAGCTTTGAATATTGATGAATACATGCTGAACAAGATTAGCCAAAAATACCACACAAAACAGTAATAATAGAAGATTCTTGATTTTTAACAAGTGTAAATGAGTGGTTGGAGAGATATCAGTTTTGATGAAAAAAACATTTGATCAAATTGTCATGAATAAAACTTCTAAATATGGTATAAGACAATGGAGAAGACAAACCTTCTTCCAAACACATTTGTTCCTCAATATTGTCACCATGTGCACATTTGTTAAAAAACTACATCAGGCAAATGTTTGCGCTTATTGACAACATGGTAAAGGAAAGACTTGAATTTGGCCCAAATCAGCATCCCATTGCCTGACAGGGTAGAAGTGGCACTCCAAAGGAAGTGATTTAGGCAGGGACCTATCCATGTACTTAGAGCACAACAATCTTTCTCTTTGCTTATCTTTATTAACATTTTGTTGATCGTTAAGAAATTAAAAAAACCACAACATTCAAGGTATAATAGAATACTTTTGAAAAAATGCCCATTTGTATCAATCATAATGCAGTACACAGGTGTGCAATATTAAGTAGCCACCATTTATAGTAGATAGGTTAGCAGTCAACTGAGGGGGGCTTACTCTTTTCAAGATGCCATAAATCATAATAGTGTTTGATGTTCTGGCATCTTTCCCTGATATGTGTTACAATGGAGGTGTCTGTCTGTTATGAGAGCTGACATGGTGAGACCACTGCCAAGAAGGTAGGCCATGCAGTTCTGAAAGGCAAGGTATTCCATGGCAGGGCTGCTTCCAGCAACATTTCTCTAAAAGAAGAAATACACACATATACTCCTTTTACTCTAGAAACAATATATGCTTTGGTCTTGTAAACTAGTAGTGGATGCTTGTGATTAATGTTTAATTTCAAAATGTACAGAAGGAAAGGGATTTTGTCCAGTCTGTAAGTGTTATTTAAGGGTCTGGAAAGCATTTTCAGATGAGGAAGCTTGACAATGTAACAAATCTCTTTCATCCATGGTAAATAAAGGGATACTTAAAAGAAACTTGCTTGGACTAGAGAAAAACAAACAATCAAGGGAATAGTACAAGAAAGTATGGTGTAAGCACTATGTTTTGCACCATGTTGCATACTGTCATGTCTCCCATATCCTGCTATTGCCATATATATCCTCTCACTTTTTTTCAACACTTCCAGCATTTTTTCTTGGCATGTCTTCCAGTATAGGTATGTAGTAGGAAAGAGCTTCCCCTAACCAAAACATCGAAATTTTATCACCTAAAACATTGATTTTGTAATTTTTATAACACTTATGGGCTGTGCAAGGTAGTGTCTAAATACACAATACTCCCCTTCTCCATATTGCTGGCTACAATTGAGGAAAGAGGAGGCAGACCATTAGCAATGCAGCTAGCCAACCCAACAAACATTAACATATTTAAAAATTATACAAATGGAAATATTGGATGACAGGAAACAATCCAATATATACAAATAGAAAGCTTACCCTTTGATATCTGAAGTAACCTCTAAGGGAAATGCATTACAAACCCATGAGTTTGAAGGGGCACTTTGTATGCAGAGTTTCTAGAGAGAAGTAATGCAAAACACAGCAAGAAATTCCTTGCAGGCATTTTTGTCCCTTCCATTTCAGGCTGACCTTTCTAGATGTGCTCCTTTTTAGGACAAGTAGTGCTTTTGCAAGTTGGTTTTAACTTCAACCATTGTCCCTTTTGAGCATGTCTCCACTAGTGGATTATCTGTTTGGCAAACAGGACAAATGGAAAATAGCAGCAGCAGGTGAGACAGAAACACAATAAACTTGGAGTGTTTTTGGAGAATGTCATCCATTGGAAGCCTAAAGACAATAAACCAGAAGCAAAACCTAAGTTTTAGAGTTTAAATCATCATGCTATAAACCATAGCTACATACGAAGACATTTTTCATCTTCCTTTGATTCTGTGTCAGTTTCTGTCTCTGTTTCCGTTTTGCCTTTGCCTTCCTCAACCTTTTCCTCCTTTTCTTCCTTGTTTTTCTCCGAACTACCTTCTTCCAGCTGTGATGGTAACTTTTGATGCTCTTAAAGAAATAAAACAATAAAAATAAGCATAAGAGGGTTCAATGGATAGCTTTTTAATCATTTGCTCTTACACAAACCTTTCTTAGTGTTGCTGAGAGATTCATTCTTGTCCTGCAATTGTACCTTCAAGTCAATCACTTTATTTTCTAAGATCCTGTTTTTATTGTATGACTTGCAACCAATGCAATCTTCAATCTGCATTGAGGCATTGCAGAATTCTGTTAGAGGAATCTTGTAGTCAGGGGACTTCATTTCAACCACCCCATCAACAGTTACTTCAAGGTGTTTCAATGGTTCATTATCAGCAGTATCACTACTTGTTGCAGCCATGACATTTTTTAGGATCTATAGAATAAATAATGAAAATTGAACTTCCTATCTTTAGTACAGAAATGCCCAGAGAAATATGTACCTGTCAACAATCTCTTGTTGACATTGCACTGATGCTTGAGGAGGTACTGCTAGTACAGTTGCCAAGAAGTGCACATTGGATCAATAGAACATCAGCGATACCGATGTCATCCACAATAAGCCATGGCACAAAAGATAGCTTAGCTTCCCTAAGAACAGGGAATCTCATTGGGAAATCCTCTGGCTTGAAATGTGTTAAACATATGTGTCAGTTCAAAGTCAGCGTCCACTTAGTACACTTCACACTCATAAACTGAATCCACCTCATTCGCCTTTTCCTTACCTCTGGCCTTTGATTGCCTTTTAATGGAATCTTGTGGGGATAAATATTCTTCTTCAAGGCTTGGTATTCAAACAACCCTAAACTACACATCAAAACAGAATTTCTTGGCTTGAAAGATCATAAACAATAGATTCCACACTCACTTTGCTTCTTTGATAAACTTGGACCTACTACCTTGATTTCAGCAATATTGGGGTACCAATACTCTTCCACAGAGCCAAAGAGATACAGGAAGCCCAAATTCACTTCAATTTTGGACTTTTGTCACCTCGTGAAATAACAAAGATGCATCAGAATCACTCACAAATCTTACCAGACACCTACATGCTTCTAAATTCAAAATTGTTTTAAAAAGGTAAGTACTGGTTTTATAAGTCTTCAAACTATGATGGTATGTTGACCTGCAGGGACTGCGAATATCATAC